GCGGTGGGAGCGCTATGTCCCGAGTGCGCCACGGGCTCAGCCCTAAACTAGCATTTTTAAAGTTTGTTTTTTTCCCTTTCAAATCAAATGTATTGGATATGGACCAAAAAAATAAGATTCATTTTTTGGGATAAATATTTGGTGTGAACACACTTAATAAACTCGTTGGTTCATAAAGCATAAGATTAGATGCCTTTAAATCTATTTGATATTATCCTAGATGTTGTCTGTAGCAGACATAAGTCAGTTTGTTGTTCTTTTTTTTCATTTAGGCGTCCAAGAGGAGTTATTTCCACACCAGTGATTAGAACGTTTGGAAGAGGGGGAAGGTACTATGGCAGAGGCTATAAGAACCAGGGCATGATTCAGGTAAGGTGACAGCACAGGGTTTCTGCCCATTCACTCCCCTGGACGATGCCTCCTCTCTGAGGTGGCATCTCCAGTGTCTGTGCTCAGACAGGAGGGGTGAGGCATCTAACACAATGACTGAAGCATAAGTGCTCACTAAAGGTAAATTCCCTCGAGCCTAAGTCCTGTCCCTGTCATTTGGGAACCTCTTCAAGTTGTCTCTATCCTTTGCCATGACCTTGTGGTCTTTGGTAGCTCCCTGACTAGTACAACTCTGTGGGCCAGGCTCACTGGGAGCATCGCCTGCCCAGACACTCCTGGAGCAGCCACTTTTAGTGTCTGGGATTCTTTAGTGGAAAACAGCATTTCCAGACCACAATCTGGGCACCAGTGGGTACTTTTTTCCACAGGATTGGTGACTGTTCCTTGTGTTCTTCTGTGGACAGAGTGCAAGGGGAAAGTATATACATGCCCAGAGTTCTGTTTCTTCACAGATAAATGTACACACACGACATACACTGGCTTTTTCATTTATTTTTTTTTAGATGAGATCCTCATGAATTCCTGTTGATATTTCTAATTCAAACTGAGGACTACAGGGCTTAATCTCTTCTCTAGTACACGGGTTCGCCCTTTCTTCTGTTGTGAGTCACTGTAGGCTTTTCCTGTGCACACACACATATACTGTGCACATATGCACACACATACAGTATGCACACTTGTACATATGCACACACACACACATACATGGTGCTCTTGCTTCCCCCTTCCCCCAATGAAATACTCCATGAGTTTATATTGAATCTCCTCATTCAAATTTAGGATTTCAGAAATCTCACTTAACCTCTACTATTATATCTGAATGTCCTTTCATCCATCCTGAGAATCTTGGTTAAGAAGCCAGGGGTTGATTAAATTAGAATATCCTATAACTAATCATTTACTTTATCCCATATTGTGCACACAACAGGCTCAGAATACCTATTAATATTACTATCACCAATATAATTAACTGAATTAAAAAAAAATGTTTGCAAATGCTCTCCCCATTCTGCCCCACCATTCTTGCATTTAAAAAACATAGCTGTGCTTTTATTATCTCCATGACCT